CTGTGGACAACAAAAAGTAATCTGCTGTTGACTACTTCAATAGTTTTCTAAACTCAAAACACGATTTAACAATTTTGTTTTGAAAGAAATATACTAGCCTACTCCACTCAAAGGCAAGAATCCTGAGTCCTTAATATGAACTAAAAGCACCATCTGCAGAGATGGGCATACTAGAGAAGGCTCCATTACTACAGTCAACCCACACAAGCAGGGCCCAGGGAAGGCAGGCTGTGTTCATCCCTGGGGCCTGGTCACTGTTCTTCAAGGAAGTGGCTGTGTGGTGCAACATGAAGAAGCTACCTTATAATGTCAGAAACAAAGTCTACTTCATTCTCTGAAAAGCTATGTGTCCAAACTTGGTCTGACTGGCCTCCACACTCGAATCCTTTTCTCTTTGCAGGAACCACTGGAATTCCTAGAAAATCAGGGACCAAATCATAAATGTAGAACCTTTCTAGACTTCAACTCCTCATTATAAACAAGAAGCTGTCTCACTCCCCCTGGAGTCTGCTTAGGTTTTCTTCTCCCCCTTTCGTTGTTGAAAAACAAACAAACAAAAAGGATTCCACTCTGGGAAATACATTTCAAAAAGTATTACTGGTAATCGGTACCAAAACGGTTAAGTAGCCATATTAGGACATTAAAGAAAAAAGTCACACAGCCTAACAATACAGGGTAGGACTGCTCGAACAGAGTAAACAATAGAATCATGGCACAGCTGGGACAAGTTGATAGTTGATAGGCTATATCCACTATGGAAAAGTCTACATAGAGTTATTTTACATAAAGGACTCAAAATGCTGACTACAAGCATGTGCAAAAGTATGTAAGTCAAACTGGCACCTGGGTGCCTCAGTTGGTTAAGTATCTGACTCTTGATTTCAGCTGAGGTCACGATCTCAGGGTTATGAGACTGAATCCCACATGTGGGGCTCTGTGGTCAGCAAGCAGTCTGCTTAAGGAATCTCTCTCCCCCTCTCCCTCTGCCCCTCCTCTGGCTTGCACTCATGTGTGCACACTTTCTCTAAAATAAATAAATAAATCTTAAAGTATGTAATTAAAAAAAAAAAAACAAAGTACCTAAGTATAATGATAACAGGAAGGCAGTTTGGCAAAATATAAACACTTGTTTGACTTTTTAGCTAATTGGCTCCTTCTTTTATATATAGTGGCCCAATTCTCTTGACAAGGGGGAAGACAGGGGACAAGAGAGAAGAAGAGAGATGGAGACAGAGTGGAATTAGACCAAGCAAACAAGGTTAAGAGCCTGCAGTGCACTAACTAGTCCACAGGGAGTCACTTTACTTTGCTCTTACAAATTTCAGAAAGGTCCATATGCCCTCTGTGTTCTAATTCCAGAAAACTGGGGATCCCTGGGTGGCGCAGTGGTTTGGCGCCTGCCTTTGGCCCAGGGCGCGATCCTGGAGACCCGGGATCGAATCCCACGTTGGGCTCCCGGTGCATGGAGCCTGCTTCTCCCTCTGCCTGTGTCTCTGCCTCTCTCTGTGTGTGTGACTATCATAAATAAATAAAAATTAAAAAAAAAATAATTCCAGAAAACTGTAACCCTCTGTTTATAAAATCTACCTCCATAACTCTGGTACTAGCTATTCATCTGATACAGGCTTTTAGTCTCACCCCAGATCTAATAGAGGTAGAAAAAATGTCCCATCACCAACGTTCCTTCCAGCAAACGAAGTTCCTTCCTATGGACCTGCCCAGCAGATCCAGAACACTCATTTCAAAGCCTTTGTTCCTGATAAATTGCAGGCTCAAGGCACTAGGGCTCCTGAAAGAAGAGACATATTCAAAGATATTAAATCCTCTTCCATGGACCCTCATGTCCTATAAACCTCAGAAAATCAGTGCAATGCTGCCAGACAGGACTACATTATTACTCATTCCCCATTTGGTGATTTAAAAAGGCACAGGGGTGTCTGGGTTGCTCAGTCAGTTAAGTGTCTGACTCTTGTATTTCGGCTCAGGTCATGATCTCTGAGTTCAAGCCCTATGTCAGGCATCCCACTCAGCAGGAGTTGGCTTGAAATTTTCTCTTTCCCTCTCCTTTTGCCTCTCCCTGCACTTGTGCTCTCCTTCTCTCTCTTTAAATAAATCTTAAGGGCAGCCTGGGTGGCTCAGCGGTTTAGCGCTTGCCTTTGGCCCAGGGCGTGATCCTGGAGTCCTGGGATCGAGTCCCACATCGGGCTCCCTGCATGGAGCCTGCTTCTCCCTCTGCCTGTGTCTCTGCCTCTTTCTCTCTGGATTTCTCATGAATAAATAAATAAAATATTTTTAAAAATAAATAAATCTTAAGAAATAGGACAAAAAAGCACAATAAAGACAATCCATAATAATTCTTTTCCATTTTGATTCTTCTTTGCCCTGAGAAACTACTGAAGAAGGGAGGAGGTTGCAGAGGTCAGCCAGCACTAGAGAGCAAGGTGGGGAAGGGGTAAGAAAATGCAAGGCAAACAGCTCCCTGGAATTAGAACAATTCTCTCACCTGACACTGGAATTGACGTGACCAGCTACCAGCTATAGATGCCCACAACATGAGCTGGTGTTGTTATCCCAATGTGCAGAGGAGGAAACAGCCAAAGGAAAGGTAGTAAGTGGTTGCTCAGACTCCTGTACTGGGTTGGCCATAGCTCCCACCCCTCCCTGCTAAATAGCTTCTGGTTGGGCACAAGGAGTCCCTGGCCTGCTTACCAGAAGGCTGTTCCTAGCTCAGAGTTTACTGCTGTATAGAACTGGCATCACATTAACAAGAGGCGATTATTCTTTGGCTTTCACAAGTGCTGTCATCATGTTTCCCCAGTTAAATCAGAAGCTTCCTACAAAGACAGATCATCAAGACTCCCTCAGACTCAGTTTCTCAGAGTCCAGTGCCATATTCCAAATCACATACAAGCCAGCACCCTGGGCAGTCTCCAACTTGAGTTGTAACTGCTGTAGATGCACAGACGGAATGCCTGAGAAAGCTAGCTAAATGGGGTGGACAAGAAAATATTAGTTTAATTTACCAGGGGTACCCAGCTGGCTTGGTTGCTTGGTTGGAAGAATATGTGACTCCGTCTTGGTTGGGGTTGTGAGTTTAAGCCCTATGCTGGGTGTAGAGATTACTAAAAAAAAGAGATTACTAAAAAAAAAAAAAAAAAAAAAAAAAAAAAAAAGTAATTAAATACCAAATAAAATAATAAACATTTTAATTGGGAAATTTTTTTTAATTTTTATTTATTTATGATAGTCACACAGAGAGAGAGAGAGAGAGAGAGAGGCAGAGACACAGGCAGAGGGAGAAGCAGGCTCCATGCACCGGAGCCCGACGGGGATTGATCCCGGGTCTCCAGGATCGCGCCCTGGGCCAAGGCAGGCGCCAAACCGCTGCGCCGACCCGGGATCCCTGGATCGCGCCCTGGACCAAAGGCAGGCGCTAAACCGCTGCGCCACCCAGGGATTAATTGGGAAATTTTTTAAAAAATTGGTATTATGTCTCTAACTGGTATATAATCTGGTTTTGTCTTTCTTCAGATATCCCTCCCTTCCTTCTTCCCTTCTCTCTTATGGTTTGGATTTTCTAACTAATGACTTGTTTGTACTTCCCATGCCTCTAAGCTGGCCAAGGCCCTTCTCATCCCATAGGGCCCAGTTAGGCTGGCTTCTGCATTTACCCAGCTGTGTTTTCTCTGCTACCCTGGTCTCTGGGTCCAGAAGGCCCAGGGTCTCCCTGCAATCCCTGGCCCCCTCTGACTCCTCCAAACAGGCCTAGTTTTCCATCAACTTCCCCTGCCTCCCCACCCGGGAGACTGCTCCTCACCCGTGTAGCTGTGATGGCAGGCAGTCCATGGGACTCTATTACTTTTTATAGCCAGCACTAGAAGGAATGAAGACTCCAGTTTCTTTTGTCTGAAGGTCTACTTCTGGTCATTGGTGCAGCTTCCTTCCCACGGCCCAGGGGTGTGTACCTACGTGTTCCACTCTTTGGGTTCAATAACTGTATACATCTTTGTCTATGATCTCACCTCGCCCACTTTTATTGCAACATTCAAGAGGGTCACAGTTCAAAAATAATGTATTACCTCTCACAGAAACTATGGGCATTATGTGCCCCACAAATGTTTTTAGACAAACACAAAATACAAGAATCCCAGACTCTCTCTATCTTGGATTATAGCATCTATTCCTTCTCCATATGCCCTAAAGGCCTTTCATGTTTAAGTGAGAAAATACCTTTTCCGTTTACCAATACCATAATCAGGCCAAGTCAATTCTTAAAATGTTGCCACACAGTCCTATCAGGCCTCAGCAGATATAAATAAGTGGGTTGTTTACCTAAAAATTCTTTTCTGAATACATGTCTACCTAAAAATAAATTCTAACAACCTAGTTATAAACCCTATATATGATCTGGGAACAAACAACCCTAGAGCTACTATAGAGGGAAGAAACTGGGAGCAGGAAGGTACAGATCTTGAGCCTCCAAATCTCTCTACATTTTTAACCTGTAGGAATGAATATCTGCCCAGCATTCCATTCCACAACACTAGGAGGATCAAATAAGATAACGATTGTGAAAACACTTAATAAAAAATGTTAAATTCTACAAACGCTACAAAAGGAATTGAGAATGAACCCAGTTCATTCAACTAGCTAGTTTACTAGCTAGTCTGCCCCAAAAGATACCCCAGGTGAGCTTTTCAAACCTTACTAGGACACCAGGAAACTCTCAACAGGAGGAAGAAGCCCTGTTTCCGGATGTGGTGTGGAGAAGAATTTGTTCTCCTTGGCACTGTTTACAATCCAGCATTGACAAGGGCAAACCCCACACCAAGGGCCAGTTTTGTGTGCCATTCAGTGAATCAATGTGCAGAAGAAGTGCCATTTGTCTTAAGTAAACAGTCACTTGACTGGCCCTGCTCGGCTCCCAGACCTCAGGGAGGCTGGAAGGTAGAGGGGGGCAGGGGAGTGACGCTTATGGACCTGTCAGTTTACTGGGACCA